TGCAGAATCTTGTGTCACCTCACATCCCACCATCCCAGTCGGCTTTGGAGTATCTCAAATCTTTATACGAACCACCAAATCCTACCTTGACAGTGCTGGATTAAAGATATGACCCATCACAACCGGATAAACAGAACAGGATTATTGTCAACGGGAGATAAACATGTATTTTTTAAAATCAAAACATGCATCGTATTCTTGTAAAGAGCAGAGCAAATATATAGTAATGCTATGGTAATGCTGTGCGAGCAAGGATTATAATAAACATGCATTTACCATACTCTTTGGTTCTTTCGGTAAAGTCACGTAGTTATAAAATAAATTAAATCACGACGTTTCGGGCGCAACACAAGCGTCCGTCATCAGGTGGGACAACCACAGCAAGAAACAATTGCTGAAGTGGGCAAAAGGGGCTGCTGCAACAAGAGGCCATATAGGCAAGAGAAGGGGGGGAGAAGCAAGGGAGGAGAGACAGGGAGGGTGGGGGTGTGGGATTGGGGGAGTGGATGCTACAAGTAAGACGCAAGCACGGCAGAAAATGCTGGGAGTTGGAGGGTTAGGAAACTGGAGATGCGGATATGAAGGGAGGCCAAAAGCAGTTATGGCTTTACCTGGTTGATAACATCCTTCCAATGATTGCTCAATCTGTATCCATCTTCCCGGCTGAAGTTATGTCTATGTTTATATATCTGGATGGCTTCATGAACAAACCTTTGATAGTAGCCAGACGGTTTGCAGAGCACCTTGGTCTCGGAAAAAACAATATCATGAGAGCCCACAGCGTTATAGCAATGGTCAGCCACGGCTGAGGAATTAATTCTGCTGTGTTTCAGATCTGCCTTGTGCTCGTGAACACAGTCCGAGATATGACGTTTCGTTTCCCCAATGTAACAATCACTACAGGTGCAACTTAGTTTGTAGACTCCAGGATATTGCATGTCAGGAATGACATCCTTCACAGATGGTATTAGATCACGGATTTTGTGTACTGTACTGAATCTGACCTGGATCATGTGTTTGTTAAAGATTTTGGAAATCTTTTTGGTAATGCCTGCTATGTATGGTAACGTGATGGTTTTGATCGGCGTCTCAGGGGGTTGTTTATCCATGGTTGGAGAAACAGCTTTGCGGATAATGCGGTCCGAATATCCATTCATCTTGAGGGCCTGGTATACGTGTTCCAGTTCACTGGCTAGGTGGTGTTGGTCAGAAATGCAGTGGGCCCTATGGTGTAGTGTTTTGATGAGGGAATTCTTCTGTGCCGGATGGTGGTGGGAATCAGGTTTCAGATAGGAATCTATATGGGTGGCTTTCCTGTAGACAGAATGTCCCAAAGAGCCATCAGGTCTCTTCTCAAACATTTACCAGGCAGGTTTTACTCCCCAGACAAATATTGTACGGACAAATCTTTGAGCACCGGTTCTTGGGAGAGGCATTTGTCCTGCTGATGATCCCGTACGAGGCTGAAATGGGACTGCCTTGTGCGTTTAAGATGAGACAACGGATTTGCATTCATATCCGGGCTCATCGTCGTGAGGTCCAAGGTTAAGGTCAAATTAACTATCTGTGGCGGGCTCAATTGCTGCACGAAGTACATGCATAGCCTGTGTGCGTGGACGACATCATCCACTAACGGTGGAGAATAATTAAAGCTTTTCCCACGGATGCCTTCGGGACAAATTACGCATAAACAGCCACAGACGGCGTGGGGAAAAAAGGAACAAGCAGTGGTGAAATACCACCTGCATTTCACCTCACTCTTTTATTAATTATTTTGCACCCACATTTTTCTCGTCCACCGCACAGTCGATAGTTACACTACCTCTGGGAACGCAACACGGACGGGGCAATATTGGATTCTATCCAGGAAATAATAAGAAAGAGGGGCTTTAATAGGACAGCGGCGGTGTTATTAGCTGGTAAATTACAACATGCGCTCCGATGCATAAATGAGCGCATACTAAACGGGACGCTTTCAAATTGGGCTCCGTGGGGACGGGGAGGGGTGTTATGAAATTGGTTCGATTGCGTATTGGAGCTGCGAGCCATTGATTGGACTTTCGCTGAGCGTGAGCCATGCGCCGTGAGCCGTGCGCCGCAGTGGTTATCGTAAATATTTTATGTGTAGCAGCAAACGCAAAAAATATGCCCATTGATGCTCACAAGGGCAAGACCTGACCAGGGAAAGCAGCTGCACTGTGTAGCCAAAGCTAATGATGAATTATGTATTTCACGCACGAGAGAGTGTGTGCGTGGTTACGTGTATGTATGGGGTAGTGGTTAGCACGCTGTGGTGCAAACCCAGCAATGCTTATGGCCAACATCAGTGACGAATATCTAAACTGGACCTGGTATCGAGTGTGGTGTATAATCATTGTCACTGGGAATATAAAGAGGGGCGAGAGTGGTGCTGGTCACACCACCCCATCACATGTGCTCACCAACAGCACTTGCCCCAGCAGCCTAGAGGCTCTCATGGGGTATCTGTGTTATGCCCACATGCAGTGGATGTGTTTTTAGAGAAATTCACGATGACCTTGTTGATGCATGTTCAATTTTGTGCCACGATGCATACAATTGGCAATCGGAATATAAACCCTGCCTGAACACTGCTCGACGCAGTCTCAAACAAGAATCCAGTTGAGATTTTAATCAGCACTGGGCATCCAAAGGTTAGACGTGTGTGTTGCTGGCCAAATCAACATCTCACGTATCATGCCAACTCTAAGTGCTCACTAACTGCACTTGTCCAGCAGTATGTAAGAATTACCCGTTGGTCCTCATACAGTCTTCACGTAGACGAGGCTTCACACCTCAGCGATGCGTTCCCAATTTTCAGTTTAATAGGCAAAATGTGAAATGTGGACCTCGACAGGAAATGTTCGCATGATCCAAAAACCTAACATGACGCCACTTATGTGATTTTACCACAAAAAGCTATGTCACGTGACATACATTTGACAAAACACGATTTCACTTGCACATACTATAGACTATAGATATGTTTATATGAACAATATTGCTTTACTGATGAGACTTTGTTAAATATTTAAAGTTAATTATCACCTATGTCAGTGTAAACAATACATTAAATTAGTTCAATCTTATAATACTCTATAAAATATCAGATTGGGCCAAACAAATCCCAAATATATTTGATATTCGAAAATTGAAAATCTAAAACTCATCCCTCGTACACCTATACCTCACGGTGTGGATCATCGTGGTCTCGGTGTTGCACACACAACTGCAGATCTCGGGGCCGTTCGATCCGATGATGCGTCAACACGCTGGTCGTTAATTACCCCCCAGTGGGGGGAGGGGGCTCGCCCAAGTGAACCTTTGACCTTCCGTGGCCGGTTTAATCTCCCTTTAACCTCCACCGGCACCGCGGCGACCGTGACCCCACAGCGACCGCTCTACCAAAGCATTCCGCAACAACCCACCAGGGAAATGAGGTGAAGAGAATGAACGCAAGCGTGCGCACGCTATCGTAATAACAATGCGTGGTCGTTTAACCGCAAGGTAGCACAGGGAGTCGAGAACATACACACAACATACACAAGTTAGAGACATCATATTGGCTGTGAAAAGCAAGTGGGCTTAGGCAAGTCTCATCACTACAGGGGATGATGATTGAAGGTCGAGAATAATGACATTTGCAGCCAATAGAAATAGACGTCCACCGTGGAGATGGAGTGACGAAATCAGGTTGTGTGCAGGTGATGCATGGATTGTTGCATCGTGAGACTAAAATGGTGACCATTTATGGAGGCCTTCATCCAGCAGTGAATAGTTAATGGCTGTTGCTGCTACTGATGATAATCATTGCTGCAGTAATCACATACTGCCTGCACCTAACCACTGTTGACCAGGCCCCCCTTGCAAGAGTGATACTGAGCCGTCGTGTTAACCTGGCTCGGGGACGTGCTGGGGTAGAGCCAGGTGGGGTCATCAGTTGCCCCGCTGGCGGTCCATAGAAGCCTCTATCACATGCAAAACACATTCCTGCGGAGGGAGCTGGTAGGAACGTTGGGTTGCTCGGTCAATGGCCAGGGTCAACGGCGGCATGGTGTATTCCGCAAATATGCCCGACTGTGAGGGCGGGCACAAGCCGGCGTGAGTAGGTTAAACGTTGAGTTTTATAAGGGCACCACGGGGTGACCAGCCCCTCCCCACCCATACCCCCCCCACCCAGCCCCACCCTCCCCACCCAGCTCCTCCCCACCCAGCCCCTCCCCACCCTCCCCTCCCCACACAGCCCCTCCCTCTCCACCCATCCCCTCCCTGCACGATGGACGGACGGACACAATAATCCCCTGTGGGCTGGTGTAAGCAGGAGATTCCTAACAGTAAAAGTTTTCCCTTTGTCTCCAAATGTGTCCACCAGAAGAAGCGACATCTATTACTAACTCCAGCAGACATCAATGTAAAGTCACCCCTTGTTGCAGAACGACATTGGAAGGATAATTTCCCCTGCTGTGTTGGTCTCACCTGATGACGGTTGCTTGTGTTGCGATCGAAACGTCGTGATCTACTAGTTTCTACCTACGTGACTTTACCAAAAGAACCAAAGAGTATAGACATTGGAAGGATAACATTACAGAACTACGGAGGGAAGGAAGAGCGAATGATGAATGTGATTAGTTTTTAATAGATTTTTGAGGTTCCTTCCAAAATGTCTTACCTACACTATGTATGGTGCACATTCTCATGCCATAGAAGTGCTTATCTCTCGGCAATCAAAGCACACGGCAGTATTCATTCTGCCAAGTTTGTTGTTCCAGCATTGATGAGTGGACACAGACATAGACCATCACCTAACCATGACCCTACACGCGACAACCCAGATCAATCACATATGGCCAAAACCCAGATTCAAACCCAGGCTCTCGGTGCTGCTGCTGACATGGCCATTATGAATCATCCCCATCGAGGAGCAACCCACGAGGAATGCCGCCTCAACGCTGATTCGTGGCCAGGCCGTGCGGGGCACTCACCGATGCAGACGATGTCCATGAGGCCGTAGAGCGCGTAGCAAATCTGGAAGAGGACGTCACGGCGCTGCCACGTGGCGGCGGGGCTCAGGCCTGACCACACGAGCCACACGAGGCTCGCGAGCAGGAAGAGGCACCCCAGGGACACCGCGGCGGCCTGGACCCGCTCGATGGGCGAGAGCGACACCCCTTGCCACTAACGGGGGGGGGGGGGGGGGGGTGGTACGGAGGGTCACGGAACAAGTGATGGGGGGAGAGGGGGTTAAACGCCCATCAGTGGTAAGGTGGGCTGTCATCTTCTTGGTTCTTTCGGTAAAGTCACGTAGAATGGAAATAATAAAATAATAAAAATAAAACATCAGAAAATAATTCTCACGACGTTTCGGCCACAACGCAAGCAGCCGTCCTCAGGTGAAGAACAGGTCTGTCGAGAAGACAGAGTCTGAATGAAACACCCCAGACTACCTACGTTCAGACTCTGTCTTCTCGACAGACCTGTTCTTCACCCGAGGACGGCTGCTTGCGTTGTGGCCGAAACGTCGTGAGAATTATTTTATTATGTTTTATTTTTATTATTTTATTATTTCCATTCTACGTGACTTTACCGAAAGAACCAGGAAGATGAATCCCTGCAGTCACGAAAGCTTTAAATCGAAATTTAAGGTGGGCTGTGTTTATGATGATCGTAATAGCAACGATTCGAGGTGGCTTTCCGGTGCGGTTCGAACATCACGCTGGCTTATTGAGTCACAGGCATTAACAATGAACCCTGCGACACAGCCTTTGGAATCCCCTGTAGGCTGTGTTATTGCAATCCTTGGTGTGTATGCTGAGAGTGGTGGTGCAGTGGTTAGCGCACTACGTTATTAACCCAGTGACCCGAGTTCGATTCCCGGCCATGGCTAAAATCAGTGGCGAGCGATATCTAAAAGATTTCTGAGCCTCCCATAGGTTGTCTTCGCCTTAAATGAGTACCTGGTGTGGTGTATAAACATCAAATGTGGCCAGGTGTGTGTCCTGTCGTGTGCCGTCCAGACCTTAACATGTGCTCCCTTACAGCACTTGCCCCAAAAGTCTGGTAAAGGCTACATGGGGAATATTTGTCTTGGTATTTTTGTGCGCAGTGACTGCTCATGCCCATGTTGCCACTGGCATAGAATCTAGGTAATGTGATGCCACACGAGCTCTGCCATTACAACATCTTGTGCCCCTTAATTTTCTGGGTACAGACAGCAACCAATGCATAGAGATAAAAGAGCAATGCAACATATCCAAAGAAAATACCAATGAGTCTCAAGAATCTTATTTTTGTCAGGAGTGTCCTGCATTCAGATGCTTGGCCAATTTCTATTTTAAAGAATGTTCCAAGTGGTAGAAAACCAGAGATACGCAGACAAAAGCCATTATTCACACAAGGGGATGAATACACAGAGTGTGCACAGACGGGTTCAGGAACCCAGTAAGTATTGCTATCCCACAGGCATCCTCACACCCCAGTGGGCTTGGGTGTCGAATACATATATTCGTGGTTCACCAATCCTTGCCCTCCAATGTTCTCGATCAGAGGCGTGCCCTGGTGTGCCCCGCGGTGACGGTGCCAGCTGTTATCTCAGAGGCCGGTGTCTTTTTATCGTAAATTGGTTGCAATGTCTTTGCATAGGGAATGTACGATTTACGAGTATTAATTGCCCTGTACTGTGTGCAATTGGTCCACGAAACAATCGGGATTGTCCAAGGGGAAAGCTTAATGGTAAGTGGGTAATTAACGTCGACTGCTAAGTGCAGCTAAGATGCTGCACTTGTTTTTAATAGTTTTTGTTGAAATTAGGGTGTTGGTAGTTTTGCCATAATGGGTGGCCCATGTGGCAACTTTATGTGTAGGAGGGGATCTATATATTATTTTAACTGATTACTTTTGTGCAGAAATAAATCAAATGTAATAGAAAATATTTTTGCAGAAAAGACTAATTGGGATTCGGCCATTTTTTTATGAGGGCTCTGAATCGGGATGCTTGGCCAATGCCATTAATGGATGATTTATTCTCTCCCCTTGACAAAATAACATTCAATGCGCACAATTATTCCATACCTCGGAAGTGAAGCAAGGTTGAACCTGCATCGTACTTCGATGGGTGCCCACCATGCGTGGAGATGGGTGCAATAGGTATTGTAGTGAGTAGAGGGCATTGCAGAGAATTCTTGTTCTGCAGCACTTCCCCACTACCTTCACCATCCCGCACTGACCAGCGTGGTGAAGTATGGTCAAAGAACCCTCACTGCTTGCATGGCGTGGGAAGCCCCTCATCCAACAGTGGATTGACAAAGGGGCCTGTATATGTAGAGCTGATTGTTTATTGCAATGGTAGTTAAACTTTGTATGAATGGGCACATGACGCTTTTTGGTTGATCTGTAATGCAGATCAACCGGGAGTGGTGGTGCTGTCCCATTGGGAGCCCTTAGCATCAATAATGTGTGCCCCATATCCCCCTATAGATTTAAAATTCGTGAGATAACAGAAGAGATGTTGACAATACCTAGGGATAGAGTGAGATGAGAGACTAGAGAGAGAGACAGACAAAATAGTAATGTGGGAAAATATCATTTGTAATGTTACATGGTTATCTTTGCGAAGATTTGCAATGGAGCTGCTTTGGGGCCCTAAGCTCTTAGTTTGCTCAAGGCTTGGCGCCGCCACTGGATCAACTGGTTCATGTGCCTCGTAAAGCAATATTTTAAAAAAATCGGCGCTCATTCTTTCGGTTGTCTGGAAACAACGACGAGGGACGTCGTGTGAACGGAATTTGGTGTTCGGGCAGAAACACGCCCTCTGCTGTGCCATGGTGCCCGTGCCAGACCTGTAGCTCATCGAGACCTGCATTGCACAACCTTATTGTGCTCCATCTTGGCGGATTGTGGGTAATAAAAAATGAAAAAAAGGACAAACAATGGTCTGCTTTACCACGTAACAAGAACTTACTATTTAGGGTCATCACCCTCTTGGCCTTCTCGACCAATGTTTTCCAGCAGCATTTGTTTAAGCAAATTATCTGGTCACAATGCGTCGGCAGTGGTACACAAGCACAAATAACCCAAAAGAATGAACACATTCGTCAATAACACACACCCTTAAAAGGAAATATGTATAGCATGCAACGTTTTGGGAAATAGCCCTTCTTCATAACAAATTACAGCCTTTCTTCGTACGTTTTAAGCAGGTTTTCCATGTGCCACATAAACCGATGACCGAGGGAGTCTGCGTGTGCGCACAACGCACCTGTGTCGGGTGCTTGGTGTTGACGGGCCGCACGCGGAACTTGTAGTAGCAGAGTTCACAGGACCATGACCCGCGCTCACTGATCCACGTGAGCAGGCACGGTTGGTGAGTCCACCGCACGGAGCCATTGCACCGGCACGGATTGAGCAGCTCACCCTGCCAGTCGCACATACACACAGCATCACGCGCACGTCCCCGGCACAACCTCGCCACGTGTGTGTACACCTGTATGGGGGAATGGTAGTGCAACGGTTAATGCGCCGCGCTACGAACCAAGCGACACGAGTTTGATTCCCACTCACGGCCAACACCAGTGACCAATTATTTGAATCGGTCCTGGCCCCCCCCCCTAGGTCGACTCGGCCTCAAATGAGTACCTGGTGCGATGTGTAAACATTGCCACCAGGGAGACAAAGGCGGCCGGGCGTGATGCTGGCCACTCACCCCCTTGTGTGCCTTGTCGGCCTTCATATGTGCTCTCTAACAGCACTTGCCCCACGAGTCTCTTAAGGCTATACGGTGGATCTTTGTCTTTGTAGACCTGTACATATTACAGCCCTTTGGTCAACCCACTGCTGGATGAGGGCCTCCCCGTGCCATGTGGGTTGTGAGTGTTGTTATGTGGCCATTATTTGCCACCCTGGTCAGTGCAGGTTGGTAAAGGTGAAACGCACGCACGTGAAGACATAGACATACGGTACAACAATGTTGTTTTTGTTGTTGTTGTAGCTGTACTGCCTTCAACTGCCCAAAACGTAACCTCCCCAAAGCGCTTTGACAATCTGTGCACAGTGGTCACCCATTCAAGCAAGATCCAGGTCCAAATCTGCTTAGCTTCCAAGATCTGACAAGATCGGGAGCATTGCAGGCGATTTCCTCATATGCGTTGATGTAGTACTGTACACTATATACACTTGGACAAAATTAATATTTCCTCTATTTAAAAAATGAATATTGTCAGCGTAGAGCACATAAAACATTCCTCATCCTTCATAGACCTCCCCCACCCCGCGCATAATTGTTTTAAAATATACATAAAGCGTTGAAATTACCTACCAATTATGAATTACCAAGTTATCGTCCGCCTTGTTTACTCTCAACGATGGTGATTCAATTCCCAGCGAATCGCATCACTTCCTCTGCGCTCGACCTCTCAGCACTTTTCTGGGTCAGGGCCCGCAGGGGAGGAGCTCCTGGTGATTGGCAAGGGTGGTGCATAAATTGAGGCTGATGAAACTACAAGTGGTGGTGGACGGGCCCCAGACGGCGAGATCAAGGTCCCTGAGCCGGATCATGAAAGACGTCCATGACCTGCATTTGCAAGCTATCCATCGCTCCCCAAGCTCGTTATGAGTCCCTGACAACTCCTGAGAGCCACTTTCATTATACAGTATATATATTCACACAAAGACAAAGAAATCCCATATACCGTATAAGACTGTTAGGGAAAGTGCTGCTAGTTAGAATCTATGAAGGCTGGCATGGCACATGGAGTAGGTGGGTGGCCAGCACTATGCCCGGCCGCCTTTGTCTCCCCAATGCTGATATGTTTCACACACCGTAACGTAGATGCTTATTGAAGGCTGAGTAAACCAACAGAACGCGTTTTTCCCGGTGCAGATATGTGTCGCCAATATTAGCTGTCGGCGGGAATCAAACTCAGGTCGCCGGGTTTTTAGCGTAAATCGCTAACCACTGCACGATCGCTTCCAATGATACACACGTAGGATGATCCATTTATAGATAACTCACTAATCGCTTACCTTAGCTCACACGCCATTGGATACCGTCAGTCAGCAAATCCGACCGGCTATGTTGGACAAAGCGAATCGGGAGCGTGTTCAAAAATTCAATACAAGTGTATTGAGATTGGTGGGAGACATGAAGAGGTTTTAATGAAAACGTTGTTTTCTATATCCTTGTTATTACACCTGGGTATCTATCTATTGATCGCATGTGTGTGTGTGTACATAATCACAGTGAACGAAATTCAAATCCCAGTTGAGCATCAACTCGACGTAGTGTGTCTGGCGGCGGCTTTGGTACAAATATTCAAAAGGGGGCCCCTATCCAATTAACCCCCCAACCCCGTCTGGGCCTCCCCCCACACCTCTGACCCGGGGGGGGGGGGCAGTGCAGTCACACTGCCTGCACGCTCGATAGCTACTCCGCCGAGAGCACAGCATTGTTTTAAAGCCTCCAGTCGAAGTACGATGGAGTCAATGTCTCCCGTCATGATAATGTAGAATGTCTACGTTTGGCTCAGGGCCGCTCATGTTTGAGCAGGTAGACACACCTCGAATGGATTAGTCCCAAGACATCGCGTTCGCCTGGGCTGAAATCCTGTGCACCGAGCAGAGGTGCAAGGAGCAGGTGTGGTTTCAGTCTGCCACAGAACGATCATTGGCACAAAGCTACACGGGCCCACCTTTTGAGTTGCTGCTCCTGCTGCAAGGGCATCACATGCTACATTGGAGGTGAGATGTCAGATTATTTAAACAATCGATTACTCGATAAATGGTTAAGACTAAAATAGTTGGGAAAACGTATCCGCTCCATTCCTAAGTGCTGCTGGACGGGAGGTGATGGGCAGATCTTGGTGTTGCCATCGCAGCATGATCGGCTGCGTGACACTGGGCGTGGTTTGTTCGGAGTTTTACGCTTTCTGGAGGCGGAATATCGAGGAAGCCCTGTATGCTAGATTAATCGATAAACACAAACGAAGTGAATCACAATTTGAACTCTCTTACGCGACTTAATAGACAACTCGTTCGGGCTCTAAGGGCGTTAGAGACATCGCTCTAACAGGCGGTGTTGTAATAAGCACAGAGAGAGAGACGCGAACGTCGCCCAGATCTAAAGGGCCATGAATTATTGATGCTGCAGGGACCAAACACAGAATGTTAGTTAAGTAAGATCGGTTTCAGTAATGGGGGGGGGGGGGGGGGGGACTGTTTGCACCTGCTGCAGCCTGCGGGTCTACGTACAGAAACGCTAAGTGAAATTATAACTAATTTTGTTTAACATGCATACATTGAACAGCAGATGACGATGGAACAACGTCCATTGTTGTACCGTACTGTCTCCCAGGAGATGGAGCGGTGGCGCGCGGTGGTTAAGGGGCGACTGCGCTAACTTAAACCGGTTCACTTACGTTCGATTCCTGCCCTGGACCCACTTCGCCCAACCCGCGCTAACAACTCGAGTGACGTACTGCCCAAGCCACTGCTGGATGAGGGCCTCTTCACGCCGTGCAGCTCGTGACAGTTTTTTTTCATTCGTCATGCATACGCATGAATGTATAGTCACTCCACGGGCCTTCATTGGCAAGCCGGAGAAATCACTTGGCTTCTTCCATAAGTATTTTCTCTCAATTTGTTCGCTGCGTGCTTAAACACATTTACAACATTTGCAACAAATGAAGCTCAGTGAATACGATGTGGGTTGAGTTGGGTCAATGATTAAATGATGATGCATGATGATTGTATCGGTATTACAGATTATATTAAATAGCCATGTGCCACTTATGTCAACCCTTATTATTATTATTTGAGAAATCCCATTTAATGCACGTGCTCTAATCCCTGTGATTGTAACGACAGCACATTGTGTCCAAAATAAATGTCACTCATTAGCTATGACTGTGTTAGTAATAGGAGCCTAAGCAGCTGTACAGATTTTCAATATATATATTTTTTTGAACCCGACGGGTGATAAAGACAGATGTCTTTTATAACAACCAGGGTGCGAGCCCAAGAGACCAACCGTCTCTCAAGGGGGGAGAGCTGGGAGAGAGAAAATAAACAAGCATAGCAAAGGTCACCGGCTTGTGCAAGTGATTTCTAATAAGCTTATACAGCCAGCATGTTGCGAACAGTAGAGGCTAGTGAATACGAATCAATTGTAATACGGTATTGCTATGCTCCACACATTCTATGCTCGCCTGCACCTTCACCAAACCCGCACTGACCAGCTTGGTCAAGTATGGTCAGATAACCCGCGGCGACCTGCATGGCGTGGGCGTAGGTCCTCATTCACCAGTTGCATTGAAACGAGGGCTCGACGGTGCAGGCACACACACACACAGCCGAGCAACGCACAAACCCACCGTCACGTCGGTCTGCATGCGGCCTCTCTCGCCCGATGCCAATTCACATTCGCTCCGTAGCTGGACACTTCGGCAAGCTGCTCAACATCCCCGCGCGCCCTCCCAGCCCACCCCAACTGCTGCGGCACCGGGCACCGCCCCAGCATGGACTTTTTGCTTCGATTCTGACAATTGAACGACGGTGACCTTTCAGGCGGCAGCGTGACCCCCCCCCCCAACCCCCCTCGACAGTGCTGAGCGTCGCCTTGGCCGGCCTGTGCGGAACGTGGCCACGCACGAGTGCAACAGGCGGTGAGAAGCACAGGCGAGATGCTTGGCGCATCTCTCCGTCTCTAGAAGAGCCGAGCAAACAAACCCCAATGTCTTTTACCAAAGCGTGCGGGGCGCGTCTACCTTTCGTGCGATTATAACAACAACAGTCATTCAGAAAATCGCTCGCCGGGGCTCACAGCCAGCCCAGGCGGGTATTTTCACATCTCTCTCCTCTACCACGTCTCATTTTGCATAAAGGCATTGACTCGTTCCCAGAGCCAGGTGGTTAGGGGCGGATACCGCATTAGCCATTCGCTGCTGCTGCTGCTGCTGTCTGTCTGGCTGTCTGCTGCCGCGCTGTGTGTGGTGGTTTTTTGCGCGCTAAGTGCCTCATGTATAATGCATGCGGCGTATAGTGCAGGAGGCTGGCATTTTAATAATTAGCCATTTCGTGATCCCGCGTCAATCAGCGGGTCACACGATTAAGTGACCGATATTCCATCAACTAATCCTGTTACACCGCGAGAGCGCGTGTATGCGAATGTGCGCGGCTTACTGCGCTACGAAACCGGCGACCCGAGTTTGATTCCCACTCACGACCGACACGTGTCGAGTATTTTCACCGGCCCCGAGGCCGATTAAATGATTACTCGACGCGATGCGTAAACGGCGAGCTGGTCCTGGCCACCCACCCCCTCGTGTGTCGTGCCGCCCTTAATAGGTGCTCGCTAATGGCACTTGCCCCAACAGTCTGTTAAGGCTATACAGGGGGGGGGGATCTTTGTCTCTGTGTGCA